GACCCCACAAAACTTTTTCTTGGCGCAGTTTTTTTGCAAAAACATTTGTTTTTGTTTTTTCGGGAGATTTCAGTCATTTTTCCAAAACGAGCACACGATCATTTTCGTATGAATCGAATTGATTTTTTGCCGCGGAACAGAAACTATTTTCAATCACTTCTGCTCTATGAAAAAAAGGTATTTCTTTCCTACATTTATTTATAATTCATGCTCCGATTCGACTTGAGAATTTTATGAGAAAATCGAACGTGCAAATTACCAGCGTAAAATAACCTCAGAAATAAACTCGCCCACATGTTATTCACGGACTGAGTTGAAAATCTAAATTAATCGAGGATAGGGGAAAAATTTCTATGCAATATACAGCGCTATATGACCTTGTTCATCAATTTTTCATTAATTTTTACAATAAGTCGATGATGAGTCTAAAAAATGCAAATCAGTAGAATTCAAGAAGGAGAGAGAAAGAGTAATGCGCTATTCAAATCTCCCTCCTCTGCGCGTGAGGTTGGAGCGCACTGCTACCAACTTCGAAAAGGAAATCTCACACTGCTCAGAGATAATGTGAAATGCGAGAATGTGGATATGATCCCGTTGCTATGCGCGTAATTTCCTTAATATTAAGTCGAAAAAGAAAATAGTGAAATCAATGGAAAGCTCGTGACCGATTTATGTGATGTAACTAAGGCTTTTTTTTCGTAGGGTATCACGTTTTCATTTTATTCAATAAATGTGTTTCGGGGGTAGTGGAGGGGGTAGTTGCTTCGTGTATAGATACGCGGTGCATTCGGCCTGATGTTTTGCTCAGTCGGTCAAAACTTTTCTTCGCCGATACGCTATCGCATATCTAGATTATAGGAACAGCAGAAATCAATTGTTCAAATTGATACGAAAGAGTTGAAAAGAAATAGAAATCTATTCAAGTATTTGTATCAGTTATTAATTGTTGACAGAGTGTTCCCAGGTAACACATTGACATTGCCAATCTTTTCAGAAATAAATTAAGAAAAGTCGGAAAATCTTTCCGGGGATAAATAATTAAAGGAAATGAGTCTTGCTGAGGATAAATAAATAAAAGACATAAATTTCCCGGGGATAAATAAATAAAAGAAATAATCTTTGGAGGAAAAATGAATAGAAATAAATAAATCTTCCCGAGGATCAATCAATGAAAGAAATGCATCTTCTCGAGGATAAATAAAATAGATCTTCCCGAGGATTAACAATTGAAGGAAATCAATCTCCTGAGATTAGTTGTGGCCATCAAATAACATCAAGATAATTGTAATGATGCAAATACCTGCATAGCATAATTATTTCTCGAGAGAAGCACGTCGGAATATGAAGAACATTCAGCCTGACGTGAATGGACCCTCCAATCTGATAGATCATATTGTTTAATTTACCTTTGATCAAAAAAAGGATGAAGTTACTGAGTAAATTGAAAAAAAATCCTAATCGGCTGTATCCTTGATACAGCCGTCAGATTTAACGCGGATACGTCTATGGACCGAAATCCTCATTGGCATTATCCTTTTTAACGTAATTCGTCACAAGAATTTAATGTTATATTCAATTTCATACGTCTCAATAATTTCATAAAGAATTTCAAAACTGAAAACTTCGTGATTCATAATTAGAACCTGCTTAATTGACGAATTCCATGGAAATACTCAAGCATACTAATCACTTTATACTATGAGAAATTGCTCTAAAAAGACTTATTTGAATGAGAAAGCTTTCTATTCATTCGCTTCTTATCTGAGAAATGGCACTGTCTTCGGCCTTGGATCATTTTAACCCCACCATCGATTCATTGGCCAATCAGATTTTTAACTTCCCACCATTGACTCTTTAGCCAACGGTGAGTTTTTGCGCAGTAACCTTCTATAAATTTAGTGCACCCAATCCGCCTGGGCCATTTCTTCTCGAGCAGGAGAAGAAAAGGTAGCGGAGTAGCAGAGTAGCAGAGTAGCAGAACCAGAATTCGAAAACAAGAAAGGAGTGGAGGAAGGAGGAGGAAGGGAACACTCTACGAGAAGAATCTTTAGCTTTAAACCATCGATAGTCGTTTATTTAAAAACTCAATTTTGCTCAATTTAACTCTCGTCTTCAGGAAAATCTCAGTTGTCGCTGTAACCAAGAAACTCAATTCCGCTAACTAATAAGGAAAACTCAATTTACGCTTTTAAGCATCCCCGATAGATGGCGCGGCTGCATAAGCATTTTTTCGCCGAGTGACCCCCCAAAACGACACCATAAACGTATCCACGTCAAAAAATGTGGAAATGTTGGTTTCGGATGAGGGAAAAAAAATCAACTTATCTGTTGGAATTTTCATGACTTCGATGTATATTCTCAGATTGCATTCCTGGATGTCCAGGTGAACCTCTGAAAGCATCCATGATTACTTCCGGTATAATCCCACACTGATATTTCGCACGTGAGCAAATGAAAATCGCCACCCTTCCGACACCAATGTTAAGAATGGGTACATTTAATACATAAATAACTGTTCATTCAAGATTTTGGGGCAAAAAAGAGATACAAAAAGGATAAATAAATAAAAGAAATGATCTTCGGAGGAAAAATGAATAAATCTTCCCAAGGATTAATGAATGAAAAAAACATCTTCTCGAGGAGAAATAAAATAGATCTTCTCGAGGAACGTGTTCGCGGACTAGAAACGAAGGTGAAAGAATATCGAAAAAGAAAAAGACGATCGTACATGAAGTTGGTTGAGAGGAAGGAAAAGTGCAAATACGCAACAGTATTATTTAAGCAGTGTGACTTTATAATCTGAATCACATGAGTCAGATAATACTTTTATCGCCGTGCGATACACATTATTTTATGTCATTGGCCCTGAAAACCGTCATCTAACCGAGTGACCCGAGGTTACAATCGCGGTTTATCGGGCCCAGTATCATAAAATTAATTTCATTTGGAACTGATGAAATTTTTGTTATATTTTGTTTTCAGTATGCGTAGCTTTAGTGACGGTTTTATCAGCAGTCGGAATCTGCGAAAGATGCAGAGTGGAAAGTGGTGGAGTATATTTCCTACTTTCCCATGTTTTGGGGTCGAGATTTGGAGGATCTATTGGTCTACTTTATTGTTTTGGTCAGGTAAAAAATTTATGTTCTGATATGACTAAATAATATTATGGTAAATTCAAACATTCGGAAACCCCTCCTACCCTGAAATAATCGATTGGTTCATAAATTCTGCATTCACTCAATTTTTGTCGAGAAAAAATGAACTTGAAAAAAATGAAAACTATTTTTTCACTACACAAATGAATTTGAAAATTTTCTATTGACTATTTTTCCCAATCGAATTTCGTCCAATCAGAGCGCAGTATTTGAGGCTACCCGACAGTTTTATTTCGGATATTTTCTCCTAGCTTCATTTTTTTGGTTCATTTCAGATCAAATCTTGTATTTGACAGTCTACAGAGATCGAATTGTTCTATTAACATAATTTGTTCAAATCTTTCCTAATTCACTTCCTGATATTGTTCACTGTATTCTGATCGGCCAAAATCCGATGGGGAAAATAATTCGACGAATACCCCTCAAGTTTCAAAATTAATCGGGTATTTCCCTTAAGCTCCCCTGCAAACAAACGATCGTGCCAAGTTTTACAGAAAAATTCCTCGAGCAAGCGCTCGGCATTTTTTAACCTGCAAAACTTGACACCCTCATTTATCTGCAACGTAACTATCGGGAAATACCCAATAATTTTGTTATTGGGTATTACTACTGATTATTTACTTCAATCTGATCTCGACCAATCAAAGTGCCGTATTTGGTCACATCACACATTTTATTCTGAAAATTTCTTTAGTGGCAGGAAAATTGTCAGACCGATAATATCCATATAGAACGTCAATTGTTTTCCACTGATTAGACAGATATTATTCATATTTTGGTAGAATGTATTATGTAACCCCGAACACTGCAATCTGATGGGCCGAAATCAAAAGGGAAGAAATAATCCTCCGAATACTCCTCGACCTTTAAAATTCATCGACTCTTTCCCTGAAGCTTTCTTGCATAGCAACGATTTGGGATTTACAATAAAAATACGTTTTACAATAAAAATCTACAACACTAATTCCTTTCGTTTCTATGCTGTAAAACTATCCGGAAATATCCTATAATTTTGAAGGTCTTGGTGTATTATAGCTGACAGTTCCATAGTGAGTTTTATTTTATTACATATATTTGAAAATTCATTGGAAAAAACGAAAAGCAACATTTTATGTTGCCTCAGTAGTTTCTGAGTAAATCGAGAGAATGCATTTGTACGCAAAGGTTATTTTATATTTTGATGTTTGAAGAACTGCCCGAGGAAAATGAGTCACGTTCTTTATTTGAAGGGTAATTCACTTTAAGGCCCTAAGCACCTGCTCTTAATTGTTCAACTTTTCGGGTGGTCCCTAGAGCTTCCTGACGTTCGATGTGAAGTTCAATTTTAGGTTTTTATCGGCTTTTTCTCGATGATACTTGACTTATTAATTCACTTCATTTTATTACAGGCAGTTGGTTGTGCATTAAATGTACTTGGTTTCGGTGAGTCAATGGCAGGATTAGTGAATTTGGAGGCGGATCCATGGGTGCAGAGGGGCTTTGCCTGTGCTGCTGTTATATTTTTATCAGTCATAAATGTCGCCGGTGTCAAATGGGTCATTAAACTTCAGTTTATACTCCTGCTTATTCTACTGTTGGCTGGCGTTGATTTCGTCGTTGGCAGTTTTACACACGTCGAGCCTGGTAAACATTTTATTATCACTGATCAACGAAATGTTATCAATTCATTCATAAATTCCGTATTAAATATCATTGAAACCATTGAAAAGCTATGGGTTATTATGCAATCGTACCTTTCTAAAGTACAAGACCTTTTCTCCAGAGAAAAATGAATTTATGGGGGTCTGAATAATTTGTCCGATAAACAAACAAATTATTCAGACAAATCTCAATTGGATAAGATTTTCAAGTTATTTTCATTTAAATTTTGTGTTTTCAAAATTGGAACGATTGCAACATTCCAGATGCCGGATTTGAAGGTTGGCTATCCGGAAACTTGCGGAACAACACATTTTCTGCATACGAGAAGGGCTGCAGTTGGTTCACAGTATTTGGTGTATTTTTTCCCACTGTGACTGGAGTTTTAGCTGGAATAAATATGAGTGGTGATCTCCGGCATCCCTCGAAAGATATTCCCAATGGCACACTGGCGGCTCTCGGGGCGGGGTAAATTTTTATATAAGACTCAAACGCATTTATTAAAACACGGGATTTTTATTCAACTTTTGTATTCAATTTTTGAATGAATTTTACATTTTTTAGGACAATTCTTTATCTGCTGTTTTCACTCTTCTTGGCAGCGACTTGCACGAGATCGATGTTGTTAAATGATTTCATGATTGCATCGACTGTATCAGAATTTAAAGTACTTTTACTCGCTGGATTGTATGTTTCTTCATTCAGCAGCTGTTTGGGGGCGATGTATGGGACTCCTAGGGTTCTTCAATCTATTGCTGGACAAAATGTTATTCCTGGGATGAGTTGTCTATCACGTGGGGTGAGTTGATATTACGAATTCTCTTTTACTGCCGAATGGAACCTTTACAATCGTTGAATCATATTTTCTCACTTTGTTTGAAAATGATGTAGAATGGTCTGAAATGTGAAAATACAAAGTTTGGCGACAATTTCCGCCTATGCAAATGTGCGTGGTTGTCTCGAAAGTTAATACTTCATACATTAAATAATTAGTTATTCAACGAGATTTTCTCATTACGGGTAAACAGTTTTACTCACAGAAACACTCATAAGTCAAGTATTGCTAGAGTGAAAGAAAGTATAGAAAGGGACATCTAATGCCAGCTGAAGAAGCTGAGCACGAGATGAGAGTGCCATCGAACGGTGGCTAAGGAAGCCGCGCGTGAGGTGAATAGACCAATGAAATAGTACCAAGAGGCGTGGTTTGGGTGAAATCATCCTTCCGGACATTATTGTCAGGCTGTCGATACCCTGTCGCCATATTTGGAAATCCGTCCAGTTGTGTTTGGGGAAAAAGGACCGACGTACAGGCGTTCCTGGTACAGGCTGATTGGTGGTGGCAGGGCAACGGATGACGCACCGCCGCTGAGATATTCAGACTAGGGGGAGAAGGCCCTAGGACATTTCGAGACAGTTGGTGACAGACGTTGGTGTCGAGCGAATGAATTTCCGATCACTGGGCACCGTCGGGAGTGGCATTAATCGGTAATGGATTACGGGGGAACGTTGTCTGGACAAGATCTGAGGCAGGGAGAGAGTGGGACGCATTAGAATCCCACGAATAGAATGAATGAATTACTTTGGCCGCGTGAAATACATTTATTTCACGTTTCCAGGGATCCATATGCTGAGGCGGAAGAAGTGGTGTTGGCGTGAATCCGTGGGCCGGGAGTTCGGCCGACTCCTGGAGGCCCGATCGCACGTGCCTGGATGACAAGTAGTCCAGGTGTTGACCCGCGATGATATTGCTTCTACCGAGCGCTGAAGATGAGTTGGGGTGGGCACAGGTGGATGAGAAAAAGTCTCTGGATGCCTGTGTCGCATGTGCCTCTTAATGTTTGGCGCCCTGCGGGGTGAGAAGGATTCAGAGGTAATCGTTGACTTCTCCTGAGTTGAGCCACTCTGGAAGAAGAAGAAATACGTCAGAGGAGTGGAAACATCCTCGGCGAAGAAAACATGGAGAGATATCTCCTGAAAGATACGCCTCATCTTCATTACTCAATCGAAATCGAGTGATAAGAACAGAGTGAAGTACTCCTAGTATGGTGGACCTCGCCCACTTTACCGTATCACGCTGATGCTGGCTCGGGATAATATTCGGACTAATATCCCGCCACGAAAAGTCCTCGGAGTAAACGAGTTTGCCTCCGAGGTCGGTTTTCCGTTCGACTGTCCGTGAAAGTTCAGCTGGGGCCCAACATATTGAGCGATGGAGAAGATTCCAAACTAGTTTGGGATGTCTGCTGGTGAAGCACCAGCAAAGATCCCTTACAGTTGGCAACAATCTGAATTTTTTGCAGATAGCCGGTACGAATTTGGACAGAGTTTGAGCAAAAATTTCGATTAATTTAGGGTTCGTGAGTAATCATTACTTTCAGCTCTCATTACAATTACACCGTTAATTTTCTAATTGAGATTCTTTAGTTTTCGCTTACTTCATTAATCTGTAATTAAACTTGGAAACTGAGTGATAACCGAGTAATCGTCAATTGCAATGGAAAGAATTACCATTGATTATGTAACTAATAATCAGAACCACAAAGAGTTTCATTACTTCATCGAATATCAATATGAATAGCATTCTATTCACTCCTTCGAATAATCATTAATGACGCTAAGTGATTAATAGATCACTAGAAAATGCGAAATCGCAAATGAGAATTATTCAATTTTTTTATTATTCATCAATTTCAATGAGGAATTCATCGATTATTCTGACTACCTTCGATTGAATTAATACCAATCGATTATTCAATCATTTTTGGAATAAATGACTGATTATGGCTGGAAGATATAGTTATTCATGTACAAAATTGATCTTCAATCGCGTTTGAAAAATGTCGATTACTCAATCAATGCTCAACTTCAAGTCTTAATTATTCAATTACTCGCCCAATGATTATTTAAAATGGGTAATTTTTTAAGTATCCAATCATTTTGTAATTAGATGCGACAATTCATTGCTACGTAAATCTCTAATTTAGATACATCCCCCCCCCCCAATTTTTCAGTAAAAATTCGCTATTCTCCTCAGTTTTGGAGATATCCTTGAAAAACTCACCAACGAACTAAGTCGTCTACGGGAAAGGGGGGCTGTACATCGAGAATTCAGTATACTCCCCCCCACCCTTCGTGTAGTCTACGTAGCTTGTTGGTGAGTTTTTCAAAAATATCTCCGAAACTAATGGATATAGCGAATTGTTTACTGAAAAAAGGGGGTGTTTGAAATCCTGTTCGATTTCGGGAAGAATTCCGGACCTTTCCGATTTATTGCCTAAGGTATTCGGAAACCCTTCCCGAGTACCGATTTCACCTGAGAGGTGTCAATTCGCCTCCCGAATTTCAGTCAGTTATTCGTCACTAGTCGAACATATCAAGTGTGGGAAAATCATCTGTGTAAATTATCATCGTAAAATCACCGGGAAATTTAGCTTGTCAATCGTCGAGTCATTCATCTTTTGGAAACTTTATCCGAATATTTAATAGTCAAGTCATCGAATATCATCTTTATTTTTGTTTGTTTATTGGACCATTATCTCTGTCACTTCACCGAAATTCAATGCGTGTAAAATAGACGTTCAACAGGACAGTTATCGTGAATTGAGAAATTCATCGGTTAATTGGTTTCTGATATCAACGTGCACACTATTGTAGTAAATAAATTGACTTGGCTCGGGCCTAATTCCGGAGTTCTTATTCCTAAAACCTGCCCTTCAACCTGCACTTAATTCCCCTCCACGACCATCCTGAAATTCACTGAAACTCACCACAATTTTAACAGTGGGGTTCTCATTTTTTTTCAATTTTTCCAAGTTGAAAATTTTTGAAATTTTTAAAATTTTTGAGATTTTTGAAAATTTCCAACTTGGATAAATTGAAAAAAAAAAGAGTTTCCCCCCGCACTTTTTCAGGAAAAATTCGCTATCTCCCTTAGTTTTTAGATATTTTTGAAAAACTCGCCGACTCAATTTTGGTTGTGAATTCTCAATGCACACCCCCCCCTCCTCCCTTTAGTTTTTTCGAAAACTTAGAAGAGAGTTTCTAGATTTTCGAAACCTGAAGGTTAGAAACCACGGTTTCTTAAATTTAGAAACTTTTCTAAAGCTAATACACTTTTTCTTCTCTGTGCACACATATGCATATACACGTGCGAACATCCTTCTAAAAGCTGCATAGAAAGCTTTCAGAAGTCACGAAAGGTGAAGATACCATTAAATTTTAGGTTTCGATGTTTAGGGATTCAGTAACTTGGAAATCAATATTTGCGATTTATCGTTAGCTGTCCATGAGGTAATTGATAGGTTTCATTGATGATTACTTGAAAAATTGAATAATTCACCATTTGGATTAATAGTTTAACAAACAATTGATAATTGCAGAATAATATTACTGATTAACGACTAAATTGGATAATTCCGAATTTCAGTTGATGGTTGAATCAGTAATAGAAAATTTTCTCATAATCATTACTCATTTCTCAATTAAATATGTATTATAAAAACTTAATTACCGATTATCGAAGGAATTGAAAAATTCATACTTCATTTGAACTGTCAAGCAAGTAATGTGAAATGTCTGAATCTGATCAGATAGCCATCGAAAGAATAATGGTCAATTTCATATTTTCATTGACAATTATTCAAATAGTCTCAAAATTTGAATGACAATTACCTACTAACAACAGAATGGATATTTATAGCGATTCAGTTATTGATTACTTATGTAATCTGTAATAAGTTTGTTGAGTTATTCATTTTCCAATCATTAGAAAAATTTCACATTCAAATTCTTGAGTAGATGAGTAATAGGGTATCGGTAATTTCCAATTACAATTTTCCCGAACCCTGGATCGATTCATTAGTTTTTGAGGAAAAGCGATTTGTTTTTAAATTTTGTTTGGTAACTATCTCGATAAATATTTAAGCGATTTCAATAATTTTTTTCTCCAAATATTCATCTTACCATTTTCTATCTCTATCAAATGAAAATATATACGATAATCGAGATACGCGATTGCGTATCGGCCAAGGAAAGTTTTGACCGACTGAGCAAAACATCAGGCCGAACGCACCGCGTATCTATACACGAAGCAACTACCTCCTCCACTACCTCCGAAACACATTTATTGAATAAAATGAAAACGTGATACCCTACGAAAAAAATAGCCGTAGTTACATCACATAAATCGGCTACGAGCTTTCCATTGATATCACTATTTTCTTTTTCGACTTAATATTAAGGAAATTACGCGCATAGCAACGGGATCATATCCACATTCTCACATTTCACATTATCTCTGAGCAGTGTGAGATTTCGTTTTCGAAGTTGGTAACAGTGCGCTCCAACCTCACGCGCAGAGGAGGGAGATTTGAATAGCGCATTACTCTTTCTCTCCTTCTTGAATTCTACTGATTTGCATTTTTTAGACTCATCATCGACTTATTGTAAAAATTAATGAAAAATTGATGAACAAGGTCATATAGCGCTGTATATTGAAAGGAAATTTTTCCCCTATCCTCGATTAATTTAGATTTTTAACTCAGTCCGTGAATAACATGTGGGCGAGTTTATTTCTGAGGTTATTTTACGCGGATAATTTGCACGGTCGATTTTCTCATGAAATTCTCAAATCGAATCGGGGCATGAATTATAAATAAATATAGGAAAGAAATACCTTTTTTTCTTAGAGCAGAAGTGATTGAAAATAGTTTCTGTTGCGCGGAAAAAAATCAATTCGATTCATACGAAAATGATCGTGTGCTCGTTTTGGAAAAATGACTGAAATCTCCCAAAAAAACAAAAACAAATGTTTTTGCAAAAAAACAACGCCAAGAAAAAGTTTTGTGTAGAGTTTCGGGAATCCGTTACTCTCTCATTGTAGGCGGAGCTGGGAAAGAGATAAACAGAGAAAGAATCTACCTGTTTCACTCTCACATGCCGAGAGGAATTTTACTACGCTGTCCCGTCACGCAGACGGACACACAGATTTACCCAAACACATTTACGTTGTCGATGGTGGGGAAAGTCAACTTCTCCGATTGAAATGTTAGGGAATCGAAATGTTAGGGAGTAACCATTGTAAGTGACATTGTTGGAAGTGTGGTTATCAGGTATCCTCCTCGTTACGGACCCTGTCTCTCTCAATGTTAATGTAAATCCGGGGCATGAGCGGCGCTAGTAGTGATTCGCATTGCAGCAATAGTCCACGTGTTCAGCCGATATCATACCTCAAACAGTTGACTCTCATCTATACGTCGTCTCCAGCCCCCCCTCTATCCCCATCACCTGTCACTGTCATGTCTGTATCTGGTCGCATACTGAGTGACATACTAAAGATAGCCCCATTCCGTCTATTCATGACAGCCATGCACTAACCGACTTGTCTGTGTCTTCTTCTGATGATTTATTTCTCGATGCAGAAATAACACTCCAAGCCACCCCTTCTCCCACTGCTTCACTCCTATCATCACTGCTAATTAGTAAACTTTTTTACCTGATAAGCGTGGTAGGAAAATGTTGTTTCCCCTGCCTACTGCAAATCAAGATAAGCATAACAAAAAAAACTACAATAAAAAAACCATCAAAAGGCGGGTGTCATTCAATTCCTCATTACAGGTCCCAGACAAGAAGCGAATACTCGAAGCTAGGAACTCGCTCACGAAATTTGAATTCAAAATATTCAAACGGGTTCTAGGAGCACCAGTCATGGGTGTCGATGAGGATAACAAAAGTTCCATTCTGGATGCCCTGAAGGAAATCAGGGACAAACTTCACGCTAAGCCTGACAAAAGGACATGTCCTCTAATTACCACTAAGGACACGATAAAGCAGATTATTCACAAAGTTACGGAGGAGGCGAAAGGTGAAATTATCCGTCTCTCCAGTGAGCTCGATGGTAAACTGGCTGAGTACAGATCCAGTGATAGAGAGAAGTGGACCTTCCTGGAGGATGTACTGAAGCATATCGAGAAATCACAAGCCAACAGCTTGACTAATTCTGAGGATATAAAGAGTTTAATCCACGAATAAGTATCTATTTCCAATGGTGCTGACCAGACCGAATTCATCAAAACTCTTGAAGACTGTAACGAGATTTTCGCGTTACGGGTTGGAATTCTCTCAAATAGAGATTTGCACTCTTAAATTTATTATAAGAGGGACAGGAAGAGACATCTAGAGGTGGCTGAAAGAGCCCCGACTAGATGAGACGAGTCACACACCGATGAAAGGCTGAAGGCATAGCGGTTTTGATTGGAACCGCGACCCCTGGAAGTCTGGAGAATGTTACTAGACTTTCGCTAGTTTGAAATTCGCCCAGCTTGTGTTAGGGGAAATAGGTCGACGTACAGCCTGTCCAACTGGGTGATTCTAAAGGCTATGTCGGGGTAGACTAGGGACCAACGGCCAGATTGAGAGGAGTGGTGCTCCCGTGATCCCGTCGGGTTAATTGGTGGGGATAGGGTAACGGAATGACCTATCGTCGAGAAGATATTCAGACTCGGAAGAGAAGGCCCTAGTCAGATTCCAAGTGAGTCGAACGCGGACGCTCAAACGGAGAGGTCGAAAGTATCTCTCCGGAGTAATTTGTGGTGTTGAGTTAAAATATGGCCAGGAACAGAGGGCTTAGCCGAGCATCGCCAGGTGCATAACTGATGGTAGTAACCCGGGTAGAAATTCAACCGGGGATTCAGCCGCAACTCGGGTGAGCGTGAGCTCAGTCTCGGCTTGCCGCTTGATCCGAGTTCACGCCGCGACACGCCGCTCCATACCGGCTCACAGTCGAACGCTCATCAGACGGCATAATCCGGCACTTGAGTTTGAGCTGTGGCTCAACGCTTAGAACTCAGCTCCGATTGAGTCGTTTCGTTTCGAGTGGAGGGTGGAATAGAATGATATTTATGCATTTTCAGAATATCGATTTANACTGATTTTTCCCTCTGTCATCGAATATAAAACCTGGCACTTTCTCTAAGAATTCCTATTGAATTTCTATTGGAGCTCTATGAGAATTGTATTCAAGTTTTATTGTAATTCTATTGAAAAATTCTATTTTTTTGCGTCAATTCCATTGAAAATTATGCAACTTTCCCCTGCATTTTTAATAGATATTTGTTTGTAGAAAAAAATCCATTTATTTGTCTAGATAATTTATTCTGTTAGGATTTCTTCCACAGAAACTATTGGGCATGAATTTTCCAAGTTTTGTTCCTGCATTTGATTAAAAGAAAAGAAGAAAAACCGAGCGGAAAAAACTTAGAAATCTTACGTCTAAGAAAATCTATAGGAACATAAAAACCTATTTACTTTCTTGCACCAAATTTTACCTTAACAAAAAGACTCTATGAAGACTCTATGACTCTACGGCGCAAGAAACGAATAGAATTCTAATAGAACTTCCAGAGAATTCTCATAGAATTCCAATAGAAATTTAATAGAAAGCGCTAGGTTTTTCTGTTGAAGTTTTTCATGCGTGTTATTTTGGCATACCTGTATTCAGCCTAATAAATCGTAGAATATTATTAGAACTCGTAGGCCTATCGAAAAATGAAGAATATCCTCTCCTGTAGCGTTGATAATTAATAATAAAGGTTCGTTAACGTTTTTCAAGTGATTATTTTTCTTGATTTTGTTTGTTGTATTCGCGAGAAAAAAGAAAGTTTTGACTACGTTTCAGTGAATTGTTCTACCTTGTATTTTCAGATTAATCCCATTCGATTAGTTAATATCACGTTATTTCTGATGAGCTTGTGATTGTTCATCTGAAAAAGCATGCCATCTTCACATTTATTCGATTGTTTTTTCGCTCAAATCACGATGCCATCGGACCTGTCAAATCATTATTGAGGTTAAGTATACTGGGATTGAGTAATTGGAGATGAACCTGAGGTTGAGCAGTGGCCATGCAACTAAAGCCCGGCGAAGCGTTTCGCATAATAGTCTAACGCTGGGCTGTGAGCGCGTGACGCGACTCAACCTCGGGTACATGTGACGCGCGTGGAGTTTATCCCAAGCTGGGGCGGAGTGGCGTATTTCTAGCTGGGATACGGGTTCCGAGCCGAGCTCGAGCGGCGTGATTTCTACCCGGGAAACATAGCGAATACTCCTGCATTTCCCACAATTGGGAAAAAGGAGTTATTTCGGCAGTCGAAGTGATGACTTTCTTGTTTCCAGCGTTATCCAGTCTCAGCAGAACGATTCGAAAGCGGATTCCACGACTTTTCTTCCCCGACAAAATTTCCTCGACAAAATTTTCCCCCCGAAATTTCTTCGTGCCATTTTTTCCTCGGCTTTTTTTCTCCCGACATTTGTGCCTGAAAAATGCATGATAACATGAATTATCCCCCTCTCATTTCCGGCCAATTCATGCAATTTATTTATTTACGGAGAACGAAAAATTGTTCAATATTCAATTTCTCTAATAAAAATATTCATTGTGGGGGAAAGAAACATCAACAAACAAAACAAATTTCTCCGACAGCTGCTGATAATAGCGTTGAGACGGAATCATCTATTTTCTCTTGGTTGTTGACTATTGTAATGAGTGGGGATAATCCTCACGTATCACACCTAGGTAACGATCAAATTCTTCCAATTTCAACAGTTTCGATGAGTTTCTCACGAGAACAGTGTTCACAATGCCACTCTCGTTCATTATATCCCAGAAACGGAAAAAAATGTTACATTTGAACCGTCATGTCCACTACTTACACTCGCATGTTAAAAATTATTCATGGAAGTGTACCCTCATCATCCAATCAAAATGCCCAGGAAGAGTTTTAACAACATCCGATTCTCCGGATGGTAAGTTTTTTCATTCTCTTCGATCATAAACGTTCATAACATTTTCAATGCATAAACAAACTTGGTCTTTTAGGTGAGGTTTTGAAATCCATTGATCACAATCATTTGCCGAGCAAATCTCACGTTGAAGTACATGAAATTGTCAACACAATAAAATCAAGAGCGAGGAAGAGTTCTGAGGCCACCGCCAATATTATTGCCCAGTCTGTAAAGAAGGCGCCCAAATTAACTGCTTGTAGACTTCCCAATAAAACTGCAGTAAGTCGTACTGTCCAATGCATACGAGTCAAGAACAACCCCGTTCCACCAAACCCCACATCAAGTGCATTCGACATCCCTCAACAGTTTACCGTAACAAGCAAAGGTTCACCATTTCTCAGGAAAGATATCGGGTCAAAAAACGGCTGTTGATATTCACAACTGATAGAAAATTTGCAAATTCTCCGGGAATGCAAGGAATGAAGTGTTGATGGTACGTTCAAAGTTGTTCCATCCTATTTCTGTCAATTGGATATCATTCATGCAGTCGTCAGATCAAAAGTTATGCCTCTTGTTTACGCTCTGCTCCCAAATGAACGTAAAACCACGTATGCTCGTATCCTGCGTGCATTGAAAGAATTGAAAGATGGTTTAAAACCTGATCGATTGATGACTGATTTTAAAATTGGCTTCATCAATGCATTTCAAGATGAATTCTCTCATACAATTATTCGAGAATGTGAATTTCATTTTTGGCAATGTATTATTGAGAACATCAATAAACACGGTTTGAAGTCACGCTATAATGAAGATGTAAACTATGAGTTGCATATGAAATTTCTTGCAAGTCTCATATTTGTGCCTGAAGATCACGTTATTCAAACATTTGACACCGCCATAAAGCTTGATTTTTACATCAATTGTGACGATGATACTCAGAAGATGCTGGATTATTTTGAAGAAACCTGGATTGGGCTTCCCAATCGTCGTGGGAGACGAGATCCCAAGTTCCCAATATCAATGTGGAATCACTACCAGCCGGTGATGGACGATGTCGCACGAACTAAGAATGCGATTGGAGGGTGGCACCATGGGTTCAACAGTAAAGCTCGAGCTTGTCACTTGAATATTTGGAAGTTAATTCAATTGATGCAAACTGAACAAGGTCTCACAAAGATGGAGGTGATCCAATTGGGAGCTGGACGTGAGGCTCCACCCAGGAAAAAGAATTATTGAGATTTTGATGCTCGATTGAAACGAGTTGTCTCAGAATTCAACGAAAGAGATTATGTTGCATATCTTACCCGTTTAAGCCATCTTGTTTCTCTGTAATTCCGAAACATTATGAAGATTTGTTACACCCACACATTGTTACACCCTCACACATTACAATAAAAGAAATGTGAATACTGAATTTTTTTTTTTTTCATTGTCAATAACATTAATTGCAAAATTGGAAAGAAATAGAAGGGGGAATCTTTTGTGTTATCATGCGTTTTTGAGGAAAAAATGTCGGGGGAAAAAAGGGCCGAGGAAAAAATGACACAAGAAAATTTTGGGGAGAAATTTTGTCGGGGAAATTTTGTTGAGGAAATTTTGTCGGGGAACAAAAGACGGGCCACCCGAAAGCGTATGGGCCCATGGGCCTGAAGTAGGGTAATCCTCCTGTCGGCCTGACCATACGCCGACAATCTAGTACTACCCGGAGGCGGTGACTCGCGATGACCGAAGCGGTAACTGGTGGTCGAGAGTGTGGTCGTAAGGTGGGCAACGTAGTTCCACTTTGGTCGGATCAGCCTCTCGACGTCCGAGGCTCTGAGGAGTTCCGGCTGATTCGCAAATAACTCTGAAACTCTCCCGAGTAGAAATACTCGGAAGAAGAAAGCATACTGGAGGAGTCGAAAGATCCTCCAGAACGGATGTGAATAAAATTCAGTAGGATAATTAGGCCGCAAGGCATAATACATGGCCTCAAATCGTGAAGTTGTGATGGAAACACTCCTGGTGGATCTCACCCACTCCACCGTCTCACGCTGATGTTAGCTGGGCAATTCATTGTCCAGCCACAGAAGTCCTCTGAGTAGACAAGTTCGCCTCAGAGGCCGGTTTTCGTCGAACCTTCCATAAAGGTTTGATAGAGAAGGTTAAATCAGGTAGTCATGTCGCGCCCAACATACGAGCGATAGAGAAGGTTAAAAAGTAGTTGGGATTTTTCTTGGGTGAACAACCCGGGAAAATGTCCTTACAAA